CAGCACAGCGCACATACAAATAGCACCAACCGCCTACACAAGATATCGTATTCTTCATATCTGTATAATAATCATTTCACGTTCCTGTAGATTCTTCATGTGAAGCCTTCTCTGAAGTGCTACATTGCAACCGGCTGGGGTTTACTAGCGAACAAGGTGCGGAATCTGGTCACAAGGCTTTACTTGGAAGCACAATGCATACACAAATAGCAACGACTACGTCAGCAGATTTTTGTTCATCTTCAGAGACCGAAGACGGCTGTATTTCGGTGCAAGATGCGTATATGTCTTGGACTGCGAAGGGGGAGCGCTCTGTTTCGTCTGACTCACGTTTAAGGTCCTCTGTGAGAAGCGAGTGCTTACTCTTTTGTTCGGCGGACGTTTCCGGTTGTTTGTTGGAGAGCGCATCCTCCTTTGGTATGATCAAAGTTTCCGGTGCTTTGTGTAAGGCGATAGCTTTTCCCTTCTTTCGCTTCATGTATAAGGTGGGAGGGTCGTGTCCAATTGCCTCAGTTTCGCTGACCGTTGCAGGGTGGCATTTTAGCACCAGCAGTGCATGGGCGCAAAACAGCACCGCTGTTTCGTGTCGAACAAAAGCATGCTCCTTCACCAACAAATATACGTCTATCCATAGAAAGGTACAACAAAGCTAGTAAAGTGCCAGCTTTGAATACCGTCGAAAAGTATAGCATAGCCTGTCAATCATCCGTATTTAATAAAACAATTAGTTTATTAGACCAAACAAAACGATGCTGTTTTGTGTTCATGAACGGTAGGCACTAAAATATCATGAAGGCATCGTGTGCTTAGACGATTTACCTGACGTCCGCAATCAAGGGGATGGAAGGTTTTATGCCGAGCAAACCGAAAATTATGAACTGATCAGAGAACTATATCGAATAAACTAATTTATAATTTACACCGGTTTTGTACTTTTTACGACGGCCTCTTCCCTTATCCCTCAGAGTATACTTCTATTTCTAACTCCACATCAAATCGCGAATGTCATTCAGAAGACAAAAATGGAACAAACTGAATAAGGGACAGAAAACTATGAAAGCGTTGTTAAATCTTTTGAACAAAGCATTACAATGATCCTGCATTCATGTCGAACAAGTTAGAAAACAGAAGGTACATCTCTGCCAAAAACCGGATTCTTTTGTCATTGCACTTACGCAGTAAATCTTCAATATCGCACGGCAGGATGAACATATATGATACGTTAGTTATACGGATAACAGCGACTAGCTACAAAGGTCGCATAAATGTGATGCCCTAATACATAAACCAATTTACTACCGCATAATCGCTTGCCACAAATTTCCATTTACACAGCTACTCGCCCGTCATTTACTTTTCATTATCATGTTATCTTGACTTGCTCAAAGACTTCGAATTGGAAAACTGTCGGCTTCGGCTTTAGCATCACCTGCTCTCTGACGCGCTTTACAAAATAGTACTTACTTCTATGTAATTTTGACAAGATTCGCGTTCGGCTTCCTCAGTCATGAGATTTTGTAGATATAAAAAAAACAGTGAAAAAGGTGAAACTGGGTTGTCGTATACAGGGCCAAACTGCGCACCTGAATCAAAAGCATTAAGTTCAGCTCGAAGTCATAATCATGCGGCTGATATGACAAAGTGATAGAGGAATGAAACTGACTGCAAATGTTAAAGAATGTACCCCCGCCATTCAAACTCGACTAATAGCTTTTGGTTCAGCCAGAAAGTCACAGGAAACAACAAGTTTCATTTTCTTTCACTGTATGCAGACAACTATGTCTGATTGCCGTCTGCCCATGATTATTACCGCAAAACTTAATAACTGTCCTATGCTTATAAACTTATGCAACATTGTCAGTAATCAGCTTCGTGATGAACAAGTGAATGTGAACTTACATTTAGAAGCCGTGTTTCAGTACAAAAACATTAATGGTCACCAAGGGCAAAGAATGAGCATGACCAGCCTAACGAAACAGACGACATCAAATATCATTATTACAACAGACAACCAACGAACCAACGTTGTCGCTGCCCATGCTATGCTTGCTCGCAGAGATTTGCAAAGGTTGCTGGTCAGAAACTTCACAGCGTCATTTAACTGATCAGTTGTCGAGGCTTGCATTGTTCAGTCTGCGGTCATTTTCCAGGACATGGGTAAAAAGAAATAGTGTTATGTGTGGCAATTGAAAAAAAATCTTTCATTCTTATCAAGCGTCATTTTCAATGTGCTGGATATATTTCCCATACAATCCTAATCAGAACTATCGTTTACGAACCTCGTACATTTTCTAATGGTAGTTAATGCTGATATTCATATTGTACGCAAAATTAAATTACTTTCATCATATGTTCAATAAAAATCTATATGCTTCTAAATATTATCATACTTACGTAAATATAACCATGCTATTACTGAAAGCAAGAGTTAAAATCATAAGCAAGGCCTATCTTTTAGCATGGAATTTAAAAGATTATTTCATAAAAATTTAGCTGAGAAACGGTAACTAAGTAAAGTAGCTGACCTTTGAAAACAAGATTGTTGTGAATTCTTTCGGCATCTAGAAAAATTAAAATGCGAGTAAACTTCTCGTTCAATTGGCGAATTTCTTCGCAAATAATTTCCACTGCGTTGACGATCACAACAAGCTAAAATGAAGGTAAGATTAAAAACTCTGTCCGAAACAATACAAAGATAAAGCATGAAGTAACCAATCAATTAAATGTTATCCTATTCAAGAGGATGAATGACGATGAGCATCATCATTTTCTTCCATCGCCACTTCTCCTTTCGGATCGCGGCAAAAATGATCAAGCGTATTATACTAATCTACGTTAAATCATGCGCTTTATGTAAATGATAATGACTGCTCTCTATTGAGAGATACTACGTGCTAAGTATCATCCAGGTCTCTTTCACGAATCTAGATTCCAGTATCAAGTCTTACAGTATTAACTTGACTCGACAGTCTCCATTCATAGTGTACTT